CTATTTAATTTCTAAGAAACAGCCTGTTCTTAGAGAGTGTTTAAAAATCCTTATTTTTTTAATAACAATTTCTGAGAAATAAACCACCTGCCACCTTTTCAAAGGGAACAATGGCATTTACTAGCTGCCATTGTGGCTAAGCAGGTTCCCCATGCCTTCCCCCAGCTACCTGCAGAGTATTAATGCCCGCTGAATTTCATTGCAATTGCAGTTTCTCTTCCTGTTCTCAGCAGATGCATTTGAGACACCATGATATATGGGTCAAGCAGACATGGGGTCTCAAAGGCTCAAGTTAACACTGGGCATTCCCAAATTTGGGGCTGTTGGCATGCAGTCAGTACCTCTTCGTCTCTCTGTCTATCTAGGCCAGACTCCTTCAATATAATATTATCTGTCTAATCAAGGCTGGCTTCTATTTTCAGCTGTGCTGCAAACTTCCTGTGTGACCTTGGGCTGGGCAATGCTTCTCTCTGCCTTCCTACCTCTCAGGGTCTCGTGAGGATCCCATCATTACTGTTTGCCAGGTGCAGTCATGAGCCCCATGGAAGTGCCTATAAATAACAGCTCCAAATTAAACATTGGGGAACTTCGGGTTAGAGTCTCGCAACTCTCCAGCCCTGGCAAGCACTGGAAACCAGGCTTAGCTGCATGCGATCCCTCACCTGCTTCAAATCGTAGGTCTAGGAAGAGATTGAGAAAGCTGCCAGCTAGGTCAGAGCTTGGTCTGGGGAGCCAGCCCTCCTTGGGCTTTGAAGCAAGGCGTGCACAAGTTTCTGTGTTGGGAGGACTCACACTATGGCTGTGAACATGTAATTCTCTCCATGTGTGCATGTGTTTCTCTCCATCCTAAGATACTGTCCCTGAAGCATGATTCCATGGGGAAGGACTCAGCATCTCTTAGGATGTGGGCTGAGGAGCAATAGGTTATTTGATTATTCATGGAGCAGTATGAGACCCAACACTGCTTGGGGCTGAGCTGTGTGCCTCAGGAGAGGAGCACACAGAGGAACAGTGCAGGCTTCCTGCTGGTACTCCCCAGGTGGGCGGTAGAGTTTCTGGAGCTCACCAGTGCCTGGGTGGGCACCTGGGAGGTCTGTGCTGGCCTCAGGCGATGGTAGATCACAGCTCAGTGGCCAGAGAGCAGATTAGCTATTTCACAACAGAAAAGGACTGAAAAGGTGGAGGTCGTCTCATAATCACTGCATTTGGGGCTTGTTTGCCTTTATTGTGCCTCAAAGACTTGTTTGGAGAGCCAGCAGCAAAGTGACTTAGGGAAAAAGACAAGCAAGCAAGCATGAGTAATACAGGCATTGGAAGTGCTTTATAATTAGTTTATAAAAGCTCTCTTAACATCAGCAAAGCACTTTCCACTAAAAATCTTTAATAAAAACACAGCAATATTTGTAAGCGTTATATGGTTTCCGTTTAATTCTGTTAAACAGCTCCAAGAAGAGCATCTAGCAATGCATTTCCCTCCTTTCTCAGCCCACCATTGTCTGGGCAGTTAAAAGCACTTCAGCCTTGCCTCCCTGCCGTAAAACTCCCTGGTGGAAGCCTCTGTTTGAGGCGGTTTCAAACCAACTGACTGGCCTTCCCGCTCAAGCAGCAGCTGAAAATACCCTGCTGTTGGAGAAGCAGCCAACTGCGGTCGCCTTCCCTGCGAGAAGACTTGGTTAATCCGTTGACTACACTTGTGGGTTACAGATGTTGTACCCTGCCCTCACATAATTATGGTTGGTTGATTGGAGCAATGCCCAGATGGGGAGAAGCGGCCATGAAATGTGCTTGGAGGTGGTGGCTTGCCCAGTGGAGGTAATGCCGGAGAGGTCAGCCCACAAAGTGGTTGGTGCACATTGACTGGAACAATGCATTTGGTTATACGAGTGAAAGGCAAATTGCTGGGCACTGGTCAAGACAGTTTGGATGCCATCGCTGCATAAATGTGTCCCACCCAGCTGTGCCCTAGCCTGTAATTATCTGGAAATGAAATGGTTAGAGCAGAAAGCATCCCCAGGGTTGGGTTTTCTTCCTTCCAATTTTTCTTTGTGTTTTTCACATGGGAAGAAGAAAGTCTGGAAACCATGCTTAAGCTTAACAGAAGCAAAGGTCTGGCCAAACTAGATTTTAACATGGATAGTGACCCAACGTGAGGAGAATGGGGTTTATTAACTTGTTTGATTGTGGGCCAAGGCATGGACATGACTGAAGCACATGATGCCGAAAGAGCGTGTGGTGAGGATTAGCCGGTGTTCTTGCTGAAGTTTGAAAATTTCACGGTTTGGACCAGACGTCTTTGGTGTTTAATTTTGAAAGTCTAAAGCTTAGTTGCTATGTTGGAGGGAAGTGGGTGCTCCTGCTCATCTGGACAGGAGCTATATCCTGAGTGTAATACTCTCTCACTTCACTCTGTTTATATGGCCTGAAGAAAGAGAGTTTTGCCTCATGAGGAGCAGAGGGCTTAGGCCAAGATTTTTTAACTAGCAAAAAAATCTCTTATGCATTTGTATTCATTTTATATCTGGCAAAAATTATTCCCTGACCTTCTCCTAGGGGCTTTTTTAGTTGTTTGTAACATTTGATTTATTAAGGATTAGCTCCAGTAGGAGAAAGCTCAGTTAGATGCTTGGATGGAGCCAGACAGGGTTTAATTCAGAGAGGCAAATATTTCCTGATGATTTACTTACTAGATTCATTCTTTTAATTTTCCATTTGCAGATTGCCCATGAGCAAATTGCAATATCCCCAAATTGTATGTATTATTGGAAGTTATTCACCCATTCAATAAGCAAATATTTCTTGGTCCAGAATTTGCTTCTGACATTGCCAGGGCTCCTACAGCAGTGGGTGGTTTGAGGAACCCTGTGGCCAGCGCTGGGATGTTTGGTGTGCTGGCTGCAGGAGAAGCCGTGATCATTACAGTCAAGTAGCCAAAGCCGTGTACTGTGTTGGCGAGTTATAACCCCACAAGGACACAAACAGATGTGATTCCCTGGGATGCAGCTAACCTCTGCTTGTGCCATGCAAATGGCAGCTTTTACAATCCGCTCCGTTAACTGTGTTTTGCCAACATTCATTTTTTTGCCAAATTAAATTTTTGCCACATATTTACAATTTCACTAGTAGCCGGTAGTCCTGTGGCACAGATGTGTACTTCAGATGTGGAAGGGCAGTAAACACACTGAAGAGCAAGTAGTTATTTAGAGAACAAAATGTCCCTGCTGTTTGCTCAGCAGTACTTTAAACAAACAGACAAACAAGGAGGAAAAAATTCTACTTAAAAGAATCACTAACACTGCCCTCTATGTTCCTTCTCCCTGGGGAGATGGTGGGATCAAGCCACACATGATGGACATTAGTGGGGTCACAAAGGGTGCTGCTGGACAGTGTCAGGGTAATAAGGGGTCACAAGGTGATAGGAGCTACACAGAGCTGAGGAGAGGGCAGAGGGGGCAGATCTTCATTTACATTGCTGTGTGTCCACCCACCGGCTAAGCCAAATGCTCTTCCTATGCGAGTGGCTTTTCTCAAGAGTGTTTGGATTTCACCTTGGCCGAGCCAACCGAGTCTAACGAAGTTAAAGGCTGGGTGGTTGCAGTTAGCTGAGTGCTTGGTCCAGCATAGACAGGATTTTATCTGCAGGCATTTTGCTTCTGGCTCTCAGCCTGATACAGTCCCAGAAAGGAGTGAAACCGAAGCCGCCAGGACCATCTTTCTTTGTGGAGGAGCACACTGAGTTCCTGTAAGTTTGTTTTGAGGTTGTTGCCTGCCGATGTGTGCTTTGCAGAACAGGAATGAGTCACATGAGAATCATTCTGTATCCAGCAAGCTACTTCTCCTTTCAACTCTCCATTCCCAAAGAGGAGATCTTGTGACAAAGAAGAAAGGCAGATTCCTGGCAGCCTGGAAGTGCTTTTTCCCACCCAGGCCCCCTGCGAAGGGCTGTAGCATGTTGTTCAAACAGGTTGATACAAAGCGAATAAACAGTCCAAGAGAGATGGGCAGTTTCTGTAAACAGCCGAGTGCTGGCCAGAGAGAAGAGGGGAGGGAGAAGCGCGGGTGTTAGAAAGCAGCTGAAGAACAAGATGTTCACGTAAAAGCTGTTTGTTTCCTCGCAGTACACCAAGCCCAACACTACCTTGCCATTAGTCATGGCCTAGAAAATATGAAGGAATCTGTGGGAGTTTCACCTTCCAGCCAGACTTTGCAACAAGCTGTTGTGTTTGCACCGGGAGGAAATTCCCCCAGCCCTACACATTCCTGCCCCAGTCCATTCAGATGCCCAAGAGCCGTGGGGGTGAGGCATCTCCATGTAGGGTTTAGCGAAGGCGGGTTGCAGTTACAGGGTGTACAAGGATCAGGCAATAGTGAATGTGGTTACCCAGCTCTTGTATCCACAGAAATATTTGTTAGCACTTAATAGAAGAGGATCAGTATTCCTGTCCAGGTGGTAAGTGTGTGTACTGGCCGCACCTGTTAAAGGACCAGTGTGGTGTCAGACAAGGCACAAAATAGCTGCCACTCACATGGAGTGAACACTGACTATTTGTTTAATGCTTGGTGCGTGCTCGGCCAAATCCCACACAGATAGTGGAATAAACTGAGCTATGCTAAGTAGCACAATGGCACTTAAGGACGGAGGTAAAGGAAGGAGAGCAGCCCCAGGAGAGTTGTATCTGAGCTTCTCCCATGCCAAAGGAGTCTGGTGGAAATGAAGGTAAATTGTGTTCTAAATTTTGCATGTTGGCTCTGAAGTTGAAGTGACTATGGGTGCAATGAATTAATGATGTGAGGAGCAATAGAGGAAGGGACTTAAATGTAGCCAGAGAGACAAGAGGGAAAAAATGTATTGGAGGGCTTTGGTGTGAGTGACACAGTCCCAGGTACCTGTCTGGAAGATGTCCTGTGAAATATGCACATATACAAAGTGGTTTGTGCTTGTTCCTGGTATCCTGAAGCATCTCTGACAGATGGCTTTACTGCCATTTCACCTGCCTCCACAGGTATGACTACATTGAGATCCGAGACGGGGACAGTGAAGCAGCAGACCTGCTGGGCAAGCACTGTGGGAACATAGCACCTCCTACCATCATCTCTTCTGGCCCCTCTCTCTATATCAAGTTCACCTCGGACTACGCACGGCAAGGCGCCGGCTTCTCACTGCGCTACGAGATCTACAAGACAGGTGAGTTTCTAAGTCAGTGCCTGTCTCCCAAGCTGTTTGCCACAATGATCTTCACAAGGAGTGTCTTTGTCCACCTTTCCAATATGAGTTTTAGCGTGCTCTCTAGAGATAAAGGGCTCTCTTTTTTTTTTTAATTTAATCAAGTCTGTTGCATCACATTTCCAAGAGGGTAAAGATGCAAGTGGTGCATGATAGTGTATTTTTGGATCACAGCATGGCATCAAAAGCAGGGTTCCTCCTTAAATGCTCTCTGGTATTCAAGGACTAAAACCATATCTTTTCTTCCTGGCACGTGTGAAGCTTGTTAGGGCTAAGAGGGGATTGTCCCTCTGTTAGGAGCGCATGGAGCTCCCCCTCCTGTGGAGTTGCAATTCAGGGCTGATCAATGATGCTGTGTTTTCTCTCCCTGGAAGCGGGGTTTGTTAACTGGGGAGCTCTGGTTTTCAAGGGACTGCTGTCAGCAGCTCCTTCCCAGGCAGATATAAGAGGAACTATTCATAATTCCGTTTAATACTAAACTATTATTGAGGAAAGGAAAAGCTGCTCAAAGGCCTTTTAATAGTGTTTCTGTCTAAATATTTGCCAGAATTGTGTGTCTGGGAAGAAGGAGGCTTGAGAAAATAAAACCGGCTCTGTGTGTGCGGGTGAGAGAGGTGTGCCTGTGCGCCGAGGGAACAAGAGTGTGTTTTGCATGGGGATGCAGACGCCTGCCCTGTGCCCACATTCCTTGGTGGAGCGTTGGAAGAACACACACAGAGCTTTCACGTCATCGTATCCAGCATGAAAAAAATGCCCACACCTAGTGAAGAACCAGAAAGAAGCACTGCATGGTCGCTTACCCAACCTTTTCAAAGGGAAGGCAGGGAATACAGGCAGCAGTGGATGGGGCCCTGGCCCAGCTGTGGGGCAAGCAGAGGTGCACAAGCAGCCTGCAACCTGGTCACAGGGAGATGTGAATGCAGAGATCATGCTGCAAGGGGATGGGAGTGAGACTTGCCAAATTTGTTGTGAAATGGTGAGGACAAGAGGTGTCTGGAGGTTCAGAGCGATGAGGAAAGTGCTGTTGCTGGTGATTGCCTGGACTGTTATAACTGGCCATTGAGCTGTTGTGGTGCAGCCAGCCCACTGATGTTTGTTAATGGTTAGGATGCAGGTCAGTCCTGAAAGAGTTTGGTGGTTCTTCCAGCTACTAGGGTTTGCTGAGGCCAGTTGCCAGCATGGAGGGTGGCAAAGAATGCCTGTGTTCAGATGGGAAGACTGCCGACCCACCTCAGCCTCCCTGGCCTCTCGCTCCTGTACACCCCTCAGCTCTGAGCCCAGCAGATTGCGCTGGGTTGTGCCTGTCCTCACATTGTGTCCATGCCCTGAGTCATGGGGCAATGTGGAGTGGTCCAGGTGCCTGATGTGGCCAGGCTAGGCTGACTGTGGCTGTAGGTTGGGTTGGCAGGCAAGAATCCTGTCTGCTTGGGTGGGAGCCAGCAAGGGGCCAAATTAATGGGAAAGGGAGATTTTGGGGCTGCTGGCTCAGAGGGGGAGGAAGCAAGGGCTGATACGGGAGAGTACAGATGCTGGGTGGAGGCTGGGCTGAGTTTGTGCCCCTCCATGTAGGTTCCTGCAGGACTGCCCTCAGGTCTGAAGTGGTATTGGGGCTCCTTTCACCATCCCCCCACCTCCCTCTCCCCCCAGACACCCATCCTCTCCAGAAATAGCCACGCTTTCTTCCAGCCACAGCCCACGAAAGGCAGGTTTTGGCAGGGATGAGCCTGTGATCTGGGAGCACTTCGAGCCCATCTTGTCTGCCTGGCCCCTGTCTCCCCTGGGGCTCCCGGCGAGGGTGGGCAGTGCTGGCTGCAGGGCCATCGCAGCACAGGCAAACCCTGCCTTTTGTTTGCAGGCAGGCACGGGAGAAGTTTCCCCAGCAAGGGTGTCACCAGCTTTAAAGGTCATCATATTGTCATTGTCCACATCAGAAAAGGCAGCGTGGCTGCAGCTTCTTTCTTTCTTAAAGGTGACCTAGAAAAACAACTCTTTACAACTAAGCACTTTTTTCCACACCTTGTGCTATATTTCCCTTATCACGGTGTGAAGGAGGAGCAATCTGCATACAAACAACTGCATACCAGCCTTTGCATCCCCTGATGGGTATCAGTTAGAGGTGGTGGCCCTGGCTGGTCCAGCCTCCCTGCTGCTCCCTTGGTGAGTTGCTTTGGCAGGGCCATCGCTGAGCATCAAAGTCTCCACTCAGGCTGGTCCCTGCTGCCCAAGCCAGCACGATTCCTGGTGATTATCTGCAGCTTCCTTATAAAATAACTGATCATTGTGTTTGCTGCTATCAGGCAAACTGGAGACAAAGATGCCAAATGCGATAAGAGCCCCACATGAGGAAACTGTTGTTGTCTAATGCAGTGACATAGTTATGTCTCTCTCCTGTCTCTAGAGGACAGTCCCTGACTCTGGGTTTAGTCTTTGATTTTCTCCCTAGCTCGGAGCTTGTGTTATTTTCCCTATTTATCTATTTGTCTTTCAAGCTGTTTGGAACGAAGTACACCCTTATCCCTGTTCACGGCGTTATGCTGTGATTTGTATTTGGCCTTATTTTTTGCCTCTGCGTTTTATCCCACAGGTTCACACCAGAAAAGCTGGCTGCTTCATTAGGTAGTCAATTAAGAGCCTCTCCTGAGTAGGTCTCCAGCTAGGCGCTGCATAATGCAGTGCCGGGATCCTGCTATTACTGCGGGCTGCTGGCCTGACTCCTGTAGGTTAATTCTGAATTGAATAACAAGTCTCCCATTAGTCTGGGAAGACTTGTGCTGCATGGAAGAGCCAGAGCTGAAGAGTTCATAGAGGAGAAGGAGGGTGTCCCAGTAAAACTGAAGTAGAAGCCTTTGTGAATGCTAAGGGCGGGTTGTAGCAGCAGCCAGTAGCCTCTCTAACATCCCCTTTTGCCTCCAATAGCTTCAGGCAGCAGATTTCTGTCAGGCAGCAGATTTCTGTTGCCTATTGTCCTGTCTCGCAGTGCAGCCGTTTCAGTCACCGTGGTATGAATACAACTCAAATTCCCCCTTTCCAGGCCACCCCGAGGCACCTTGGCTGTATGAGAGGGGGCACAGAGCTGGCCGGCTGCAGCCGAGGCCAGTGCTGAGGTCAGTCATAAATAAGAGGCAACATTGTCTGCCCTCCTTGCCACGCAAAGGTCTTCCTTAAGGATAGAAATAACTTGCATTTCTGGTGTGGATGGTTCAGTCTGTGAGAAAGAGGGCTCTGTTCCTCCGCTCAGCAGAGATCTCCTTTCCACGGCCCCTGTTATCCCCACTCTTGCCATGGCCACGGAGTGGGAACAGATGGTGGAGCTGGCCCTTGTCCCTTTCATGGGTCTCGGGGGGCCGCAGGCTAACAGCATGCTTCCCAAGGGTTTCCAGCTAATAGTGGAGACATTGGCACCCTCCCCCAGGCCCTTTCACTGTGTAAATATTTGTGCTTCCTGATTTTCTTAAGGGGAAACTGAGGCATAGATGTCTGTGTCAGAGGGGGAGACGTTGCAGGAGACTAGCCCCTGAGGACAGCTTTTCCAAAGAGCTGACATCCCCATAACTCCTCTCTGCCCCTTCCCAGGCAGCTCCCTCCCTGAACAGGGGCTCCTCCATCAGACCTGGAGCTGCTGTGGCCCTTTGCCAGTGCGGCCGGCAGGCGCACGCGGGAAAACCCCCCCCGGCCTGCCAGCCAGCCCCTTTGCGGGCTTTGGGGTGGCAGGCACAGGTCTCCCGGCAGGTCACTGTTTGGGGGCCCGTCAGGTGAAGCCCAGCCCAGCTTGGTGTGGCCTCCCTTCCCCATCAGTGCCACCACCACTGGTGTGAGGGACGTGGTAGGGTGCTGGCCTGCCTAATCACAGCCCTGCCTTTGGGTGGGATCACTCTCCTAGTCCTGTTTTTGGAGTAATTGGCAGTGGGATCAGCAGTGGTGTACAGGCTACATTTGCAGAGCTGTCTGCAGGGTTTAGAACCATACTGTTTGCTCCAGTGAATGCATGGACCTTGTCTCTCTGCCTGTGGAAAGCTTTGAAAGTCCCTCTCTTAGTCCTTGCAGGAATTCACACAGGTCTTGGGTTATGGGACATTTCCAGCCCAAAATGGAGTTTCCACAGTGTCAAACTGTTGGCATTAAACTGCTTTGTTGCTAAGGCTGTGGGTTTTTTCCTGCTATTACAGGCTCTGAGGACTGTTCCAGAAACTTCACAGCCTCCAATGGCACTATTGAGTCTCCAGGTTTCCCTGACAAGTATCCACACAACCTGGACTGTGTCTTCACCATCATAGCCAAGCCAAAGACAGAAATCCTCCTTCACTTTCTGCTCTTCGACCTCGAGCACGACCCGCTACAGGCGGGGGAAGGAGACTGCAAGTATGACTGGCTGGACATCTGGGACGGCATCCCTCAGGGTAAGCCATGGGGTGCTGCACTGCTGTCCTCCGCCTCTTTCGGTGTCTCACAAAGCTCCAAAACTATGCAGTCTGTGTCTGGGTATCAAAGGTGCCTAACCTCAGACGTGGCTGCAGCATGCAGCCTGCCATCGGAGTGCTCCATGGCCAGCTGCATGGAACGGTGTGCTTGCAGAAAGCTGCATGCATTAAACCCCAACTACTGCTCTGTTGTCACCCCTGCTCTGAAAAGCCCCATCGGACACTCCAAGATACCACCGGCCCTCCCTCAGGGAAGGGCAGTGGGTTCATGCGGTGCTGGGAGGACCTCCCTACCCTATACCAACAGCAAGAGATTGAGCAGATTGGAGCATTTCCCAGCAATTGCAGAGCAACACCTGCTGCAGTGGATATTTCTGCATGGCACTGGGCCAGGGGATGTAAAAAATAGCCCATCCCCAAAGCCTTTCTTTTATCCCGATCAGTCCTGCTAAGGCATCCCTGCTGAGTGATGCCAACCTGCTGGTGACCCAGGAGGCCAGTAGAAAAGCAGGCATTACCTTTGCTGCTCTTTCTTTTGCAGTTGGCCCCTTGATAGGCAGGTACTGTGGCACGAAGATGCCTTCGGACATCCGCTCAACCACCGGCGTCCTCTCGCTCACCTTCCACACAGACCTGGCGGTAGCTAAAGACGGTTTCTCTGCTCAGTACTACTTGATCCAGCGGGAAGTCCCAGAAAGTAAGTTGGAAATGTGTGTGTATGACTTCAGGCAGTTGTGTCACCTGTTTTTCCCAAGTCTTTCACTTGCCACATGCGAAAGTGAGGCAGGCAGGAGTGTGTGCAGGGGCTGATCCCCCACTAGCAATGCAGGCAGCAGTTACACTAGGTGTGTTCTCTCTTTCTCATAGAAGTGAGATTTCAGTAAGAATCACACTTTATGACCTTTTTTTGACTTTTTACTTGCTTGTGAAATCTCACAACTTTTTGGGCTAGAATCCCTCATGTGTGTGCTCAGCCCAAAGGATTTAGGGGAAGACTTCAGCTGAGCAGGAGCAGGAGCTGAGGCACGTTAAGGCACAGGAGAAAATACTATCTCCCTCTCCCTGGTTTTCCAAAAATTTACATCCCCAAACTACAAATTGGAATTTATTGGGTGTCTAATTAAAAAATGCCTAAAGCTCTAAGAATTTCAAACACAAATTTTAGTTTCATTATTAAGGGAGGTGAATTTCTATGGAGTGAGGAAGTAAGTTTTGTGTTTTGAGAACAAAGATTCTTCATGATGATGCTTGCAGGCAAGGAAAGATTCAGTTGTTTTCCCGTGGCATTTTTACATCAGAGCTACAGTTCTTGACCTTTATTAGCAGTGAACTTGTGATGCAACAGAAGAAGCCTTCAGGACACCCCTCAGTCCCAGAGAAAGAGAAGGGGTCCCTGACCCTACACTGAAAGCCCTCAACGGAGAGCAGGGTAGAGTAGAGGTTGTGCTGTGCTGGGGCAGCTGGGCTACAGGCTCTTGCTCTGTGATTGAGTTAGGGATGTTCTGCTGAGGCTGTGAGAGTTGCAGACAAGCATGAGCTCTTCACCATTACCTGTCTCCACAATCAGTTGATTTGTTCTTTAATCCTTTCTTTATATTCTGTTCTTTATATTCTGCTCTTTAAAAGGATTGGGAAATAAAATGTTAATGACACAAAGCTTGAGAAATCAAACCCAAGAGCTGTTAAAGGGCCAGGCTTGTTTTGATTTATGCTGGTGTAAAAATTGAAACTTTAATAATACCACTGAGATCTTAACTTGGCCCATCACTTCCACCCAGGGCTGACCACATTCAAAATGGCCACATTAAAAACTCGGGCAGTTTGGTGGAGCCCCATTTAGTTTACAGCAGCAGCACGCTTGGTCCCATGCAGTATTTCCTATCAATGTTTTCTTTGCTGTTGGTTTTACACGACAGCTGCCATAAAACATATGAGAAGTGCAATAAAATTGAGCTAATTGTGACTTTTAAAGCCTTAGAAGTGAGGAAACTCAAATGAAAGCATACCAGTGTTTCATATTCTTGGCTGGTAATTCCTATGAGCCTGATATGGCATATAGCACATGCACGTATACACAGACGCATACACACATGCATCCATGCTCTCACATGCAGGCAAAACCTTCAGACGTTCCCTTTCCAGGCCTTGACATACAAGCACCCTCCCTGGCCATACTCCTTGCCTTGTCAGTGCTTAGATTTCACCTCTGGCCTTCAAGAAGATGGGGAACTTTGTGTCAGGGAGACTTGGGACATCTTGGTGGAGATAGAGGGAGGGAAGGGACAGAATTGTGTCAAAACTGTGCAAAGGTGAAGGAGATAAAGAAAGGGAGAAAGATCTGGACTGTATTAGTTTTCAGAGGGCCATGCAAACATAAAGCTGCCCCATCTTTAATTTGTCAGTGCCATCTGTGAGCACACACAACCTGCAAGATGGTGCAGATCTTTCCAGGCAGGCAGCTTTGCTTGGGGTTAGCTGGGGAGGATAGTGCAGGGCTGCCTTCCACCTGGGGTGAAGTACAGAGACTGTAAGCTGATCTGCATGTGTACGTGTGTGTGTCCACTCCAGACTTCCAGTGCAACGTGCCGCTGGGGATGGAGTCTGGCAGGATCTCCAACATGCAGATCAGTGCCTCCTCCACCTACTCAGATGGGCGATGGACCCCCCAGCAGAGCCGGCTCAACAGTGACGACAACGGCTGGACCCCCAATGTGGACAGCAACAAAGAGTACCTCCAGGTATGCATGCTTTCCAGCCCCCTCGCCTCTTCCCCCACCAAATGGAGTGTCACGCTGTTGAACTGACCCTTGACCATAAGGCTTGTTGAATTTTTTATTGCCTCGTGGCTCATGGGGAGCGACAGCAGGGAGCTGCAGTGCTCCGTGAAATGCGACAGGCTGGCTCTCCCATTAGCACGCCTGCACGAGGGCTGACTCGACCTGCTGTCCCTCTCCCACCCCCTCCTTCCTGCTTGAAACCGTGATGGACTTCCCAGCATACTGACAGAGACTGGGAGACCTCTGCCACTTACAAGGGCCACTGATTCCACCACTCGCCTGAGGACCAAAGTCTCCAGGAGGCACGTGGGAAAACAATTAGAATAGTATTTATCCCCTCAGTGATGCAGGGAGTGTGAGCAGGCTAACGTCAGGTAGGGGGCTGACAGAGCAGAGCTTTTGCTGGGAGCGGGTTCAATCCAGAGTCTCTGTCCGCACGGGGCTTGGGGTTGTGTCACATCGCTAAAGGGCACTAGGATCGGGAGGTGGTGAATGTCATTGTCTCCAGCAGCCTCATTCTTCATTCATGGCAGTGCTACCAAGCCAGCTCTGCTGACCTTTCTCAACCCACATTGTTAGAAAAAAAAAAAAGGAGCAAGGGAAAACCAGAAACGGCACCACTTGTTAATGGGACGTCATGCTTTTATTTTACATGCTAGAAGTCAGCCTCTATCCTCCTTTACTGGATGTGAGCTTCTGTGCAAGTCCTGTTGCTGGGTCTGAGACAAGGTAGAAGGCTTTGTGATGGTCCCATGTAGACAGGGATCAAGATCCTTAGTTACTATTGTCCCGTGGTCTGATCTGCAAGCATCCTGCTGAAGACAGCCCCTGGGGGGGTTGTTCCTGTTGAAATGTATGCCCACAGATGGAGTGAACCAGACTGGATTCACACCTTTTCATATTTCGGAGGCAGAGGGAGGAGCTAACTAGCCAGCCTCGGCTCTCGGGTGGTCACCATTCCCTCTCTTGTCCCTTTTTCCCCTGGCAAGGTGGACCTCCACTTCCTGACTGTGCTCACAGCCATTGCCACACAGGGTGCCATCTCCAGGGAAACCCAGAATGGCTACTATGTCCGGACCTACAAGCTGGAGGTCAGCACCAATGGGGAGGACTGGATGATGTACCGACATGGGAAAAACCACAAGGTAAAGGCCTTTTTGTCTCTTCTGCATGCATCTTGGTGAGTCTTGCAGCTGACGGTGGGGAATAGAACGGAGATTTAACAGGCCCAGAGGGTTTAATCTGTGAGAAACCCTTTTTCTGATGAAGTCTAAAAGACTGATTATCCTCTGAGCAGAAATACCCCTTTCTCCTCTGCACAGCAATGAGGAAACACTATTCCTTGGAAAACCTGGCTGCTGTTGCATCTTTCGTGGTGGCGAGAGTATGTTATTTGACTGCAAATGAAGGAGAAAACGCTTTCACAGCCTGTGTTTTGCCATACAAGATTCATTGAGCTTTTATGGCCGTAGCCCTGTCTGCATGCTGGGTTAACAATCACAAAACCACATGAAACTGTAGTTCAGGAGTTATTGAGGCCTGGAAATGAAAGGGCACAAATCCTAAGAGGGGATCACACTATCCCAGAGAACAAAATTAACAATAAATAATGAGGAGCAATTCAGGCTGCCTGAGCTGTGGGATCTGCACTAGCAGGCACAGGCGGCAAGGATGCATTGAGCCCTGAGACTTGCTGCACACTCTTGACGTGCTTCTGGGAGGCACACAGAGATGGGGGGGGGTGTTGTGTTTGGCTGGTAAATATGGCTGTTGAGCCCTTCCAAGCCTTGCGGCGGCTGCTGCGTGTCCAGGTGAGGCAAGATCTCGCATGGGAGCTTTGGTCTGTGGAGAGGAGGGTTAAGGCAGCTGTGGTGCCAGGCTGGTCCTGCTCTGTCACTTGCGTGGGTCGTGTGGCTGTCCCCTGGTTAAGGGCACCTCCAGAAAGCCCTTCTCTGCTCTTCTGTGGTGCCCACCAGCGCTGCTGCTGCAGCTCAGGTCCTCCCTGCTGACGTACCATAATTTGTCTGCGAGAACTCGGTGCCTGGGGTCCCACAAACCTCCCCCCGCACGCACGTCCCAGCAATTTCTGCTTGCTCAGCACTTCTGTTAAATTAACCGTCCCCTCCCTTTGCTGGCACAGGCACTGCTGGCATGACATGCAGTAGCCTGCCTTGTCCAGGATTCATCCAGACATTTCCTTCCCTTCCGGGCCGTGTGATTTCCCCTTCCCTACAAGTGTGTCTCACGGTTCAAATTCACTCTGCTTCCCAGAATGAGTTCTTTCTGTGCAGAGGCCCCTGGCGGGGTGTCATACCTCCAATCTTTGGAGTATTTGAGCTCCTCGCGTGCCAGTGAAGTGGTGTTAGTGCTATTTTAGAGGTAGGGAAATGGAGGCACAGGGCAGCCCAGCACCCCATGGAAGAGTCTGAAGACAGGCTCCCCCAGACCTCGGATGGGCTGGCTTTGGGGCTGCAGCTCATGGCAGAGCTCGTGTGTAACCCTGACGCAGTGGCCGTGTGCTGGCGTGGAGGCTCTGTGCTCTCTCCCAGGACCCACTGGCTGCGGCAGACCTTTCTGTGAACCGGGGCCGTCTCTCCTCACCCTGGGCAGGCTGTGGAAACAAGTGAGTTTGAGGTCTCGCGGGGACCATTTCTGCAAGCTGAGGCAGACGGGAGATTGCAACACGCCAGGCAGAGAGATGAGCTAAATACACAGTTCAGTGGTTCAAGTAACCACTGGCAATAAATTTACCTTTCAGAATCTAACTGGAGTGGGAATGTGCCCTGAAGGGTGGTTTTAGTTGCAGGGGAGAGTAGTTTTCCTGTCCTTGCAGTCCCATGCGTTGGACGCTGGATCCTCAGCCAGGGTGGAGCAGGACCGCCCGCCTGGTTTCAGTGCTGCTGGGCCAATTTATGTCACGCCAGCAGGACACTAAAGCCTGGCTGGTGTCAACCCAAAGCACCACGTGAATTGCCACCATTTCAGGATTTGGCCCTTGAGTTCTATGAGCTTTTTTCTGCTGTTTTCTCTCTTCATGAGAAAGAGGAAAAATCCAGCCTCTCCTTTTTTACTCCTTTATTTCAGTCTCGCTTCATTCCCATGTTCTGGCCTCAGTTTAGCAGACAACTCCTGAGGCTGGAGGATAAGTAATTGCTTTTTGGTGGCTCACCTACCACTTATATCCGGGTGACTCCTTTCCCTCCCTTCCGAACGACTGGCCACCAGCCACCGGAGCCACAGTGGGACCAGGGCAAAGCCCCTTGCTCACGCGCCTGGTGCTAGGGGGCTCTGCCCCACATTCCCTGCCCACGTGAATCCCCGCAGTTCCTGCTAGGCAAGCTCCCAGATGTCTGTATGCAAGGTGCAGATTCCTCCCTGCGTCAGTGCGGCGCTCCGCACGGTTCAGGCTGCAACAGTGGAGAGAGCCATGCCAAATAGATTTGTCAAGTCTGCCGCAGCTTGATTTGGTGCCATGAGGAGCGGGGAGGGAGAGGAGGGGGTGGACAGACAGGGACTCTCTATTCCTCTATATGCATCCAGATATATACGTGTATATATATATATACACATACACATATATATATATATGCACTTGCACACATAGGCATATGGGGTGTATCAAACACTGTTCTGAATTTCTGCCGGCTGTGTGGGCCAAAAGCAAAGCTCTGCCGTGCTATAGGTGGGTCAGCTAACATTTACATCTTCATCGGGGAACTAAAGCAGGAGAAAACAGTGAGTGCAGGAGGGGTGGGGAGGGCAGGATGCGCTCTGCAGAGGATGGGGAGCTCTGCCCTCCTCTCTTTTGCCCCCGCTTCCCCTCCCTCCGGTATTTTGGAGGAGAGTGGGGCCAGGGTGTTTCCCTACGAAACGTGATGGCCCACCTTTGAGTCCCCAGCTGCTGGCACTCACGGCAAGGGAAACGGGAAATGCAGGATGAGGCAGAGGAAAACAAGATTAATACGTGCTCGCAGCAGACAGGACTGGCTGGGCTGTTTCCGTGCTGAGCGCTGCTGCGTTGCTGAGGTGGTAGGAAGGCAGCGACAGGTCTGCAGCCAGCTGGAGAGGAGCCCCACACTCACAGCTCCCCACCCCATCCCTGCTGGGCTTCCCCCTGCCTGGCAGCCCACTCCCCACAGGGGCCAGCCCAGCACACCCTGTCCAGGGCCTGAGGCTCTGTCCTTGCCCAGGACATGGGAGCAGGGAGAGAGGCTAACCCAGTGACCTGGCTGAAGGTGCAGAGCTGCCTTCCTGTATGTCCCCTAAGAGAGGAGATGGGGAGGAGAGTGGCCACCACCATGTGTTGCCCCACGCTCGCCCTTACTGCCCACCAACACATCCCTGTGGATCAGGACCAAACAACCGCAGCCTCAGAAAAGCTGCTCTGACTCTTGCCCTCCCTGTTGCATCCCCCCCATGTCATCCGGGGTCAATGGCCCCAGAGGTTATCTTCCAGGCACTGACTGTGGTGTGTGCACCGAGATCTTATCTAGAGGTTTGCGAACGTCTTTGGAAAACAACAACTCGTTCTTGAACCCAAGGAAGGAAAAGAGCACCTGGCAGGATCTGACCTTTTTTTTTTAGCCATTTTCTTCAGACAGATTTAACTGTGAGGTTTTTACTGGAAAACAAAGCGCTCATCCATTCTGATCCACTCCCTTCTTTGTAGGGTCTCGGGTTCCAGCTCCCGTGTGGTCTGGCCACTCTGTTTTAGTAACTGCAGAGATCAGCTCATGGGGATCATGTAGTGTGGTGAGGGACTAGGGGATGGGAGGGCTTTCAGTATTCGGGGTGGGAAGGAACTGTGATGGGTGCTCTCACTGCCTCCATTGCTCTGTGTGTAAAAAGGGAGGATGCAACCGAAACATTTGCTTTGAGAACCTGTAGAAGTCAATGGATGAGATATGGCAGCAAGATCCCCCTGATGTGCATTTTCCATTTCCTACTCATTTTGACAGCTTTGTGCTTGTTACCAGCCTACCTTCCTGTGTGGTATTTCAGGTGGATGCAAGCAGACAGGTTGAATTGCTGCAAAGAGCTGAATATCTCAGCTGTGCATGGAGCTGGGGGTTATCAGAGGTGTTTGGTGCTGGCAGGGAATATTGAGGATGACTCTTTGGAGACCCTTGTGCCTTCCCTTAGGAACATTCCTCTGTCCTTTCAGTTCTTAATGAGGTCTCCTGTGTTCATTCACCTGCGGAGGGGGAGAATAGCTTTCAGTCTTGTGGCATCTTTACCTGGAAAACTCAGGAAAAGCTTGCATGATCAGCCAGAAGGCCACAAGTGCTTCTGCACAGAGACATCACGGTGCAGAAGGTTCGCCCAGAGGAATCCCCAGGTCCCAGCCTGCTTCTGTTGTTTTTGCAGGCAGCACAAGGACATCAGGCTTTGGGAAAGGCAGCCCCACGCATTCACGCTTGGTGCAGTACCAGGGGAGAATTACAGCCCTGGCTTTCCTAGCAGGGCTGCAGCTTTGTACTTCTGGGCCTGCTATCTCCTTTGCAGGCTAACAGAGTGCCACTCCTCATGTCCCTGGTGACTCCCAGATCTGAGTGGAGCCTCTCAAAGACATGGTGCTGGCAAGCCCAGCCCAGCACACTGTGCCTTGCCCAGACGGCTGTGTTTCGTTGAGTGTTGCCAAGTATCATTTTTCTTTTACCTCCTTGTTCCTGGATTTAATAAATCCAGAACTATCTGCCCTCCACTTGAGCCAGAATCCTCCCACCATCAAACATGCCCCATTTTATGCCTTCCCTATCTGACAAGGAAAATAATCTCCCCTACTTTTCTCCTTCATGCTTCTCTGTCTAAATCCTGAAGCCCTAATCCTGTTAGCATGCTATGTTCCAGGGCTCTGTCTCCACGGGAGTAACATAATCCTGCAGTAAATCTAGTGGGTCCAGGGAGACACATACATACGGATGAAGGCAGGGCTGCTGCCATCCATGGCCTTCTCTTCTGCCTCCCCCAGCCGCTTTCTTTAGCTCCCCAAGAAATGGCATAGTGGCCAAGCAGCACAATAAATAAAGTGGGAGAGAGGTTACCTCCTGCTCCCTCCCTGACTTGCTGCCTCTTTGACTTCACGACGGTTTTTTCTCCCTGTCCTTCACTCCCTTCACTCCAAACTGCCATTGGCACAATTCCCATACCCACTGGAACTAATGCAGCTTCAGAAATCCCCCACATCACCCTGCGGCGGTTCCAGTGTGTCAGAAATACAACTTGTAAGTGTTGGTATGGAGCCTGCGCATGTGTGTACATGGAAAACTTGCCCAGTCCTCCTCTAGCCCAGGCATCATCTCCCACCACTTGCTTTCTGCAGCAAATTAATTAAGCAGGTCAGCTCTCATTGATTACCAATTTAATTTTACATGTAGACCTGCCGACTGGACTAAACCATAAGTAAACATAAAGTATAAGGGGAGGGCGTGGGCAGCTTTTTAATGCAGCAGTGGAAATGAGTTCCCTTGACTTCTTGGAAGGTGCTTTTAATTTGTTAATGGTTTTCCCATTTGTCTTCTGGCTCCATCACCCTTCAGTGTGTGTGTGTGTGTGCACTCTCTGCTGAGTGTTTTTCTATCTATCTATCTATCTATCTATCTCTCTATCTATCTATCTATCTATCTATCTTCCTAGATCACAGCCAGATTTTTTTTTTCCTGCTGGTGTAAATTACTGTGACTTCTTATACTTTGATGGCGATATGTTGATTTACACCAGCCGAAGACTTGGCTCAAAATATGTGCTGAGTGGGATGGGAAGCAGATAGGATGGGAGGAATAGCAGAGTTCTATTTTGGTAAGGGGGAAGAAATCTTTGCTTTCTTGGCGCTCCCAATTTCACACATTTTCCTGCTAGTTCTTCCCATGCCATGTGTGCTAATTTGAGGCAGGATGTAGAGCCTGTTCAAGTCAATGGGACTCTCTCCACAGTGTGCTCAGGCTCTGGGGTTGGCATTTCCAGTGCAGACAAGCCCTACACTCAGGGTCAGACCCTGGTCAGTAGTGTCGGAACCTGCAGGCTCCTGGTGCATTTCCACTTGGGAAGGAGGCTGAAAGGCCAGGCAAACGGGAGGACCCCGCTCCTCTAAGAGCACTAAGTACCTGCCCTCTGAAAACAGCCCCTTTCTGTTACGCTGAAGGGGTTGCGAAGCAATGACTTGCTACGATCAGCTGGGACTTCTCAGAAACAAGGTTCACTGGGGCAGATCCTGCTGATGCAGCTGAGGCTAGAGCTGGAAGTCAGGTGCTACTTCTGCCCTTGTGAACTGTCAGTTGGGGCAGTAAGGTGCCAGTTCAGAGTTACGTGGCTTGCTGAAAGTAGTCTAGTCTGAGGAAATCACTGGGTCCCAAATCTTCAGCAGAATTGAGGTTGCTTTTCTTGGAAGCAGGTGGTTGGGACTAAAGGTCGTATAAGAGATGCTTTCAGCAATGCATGTGGTAGTGATAAAGTTTTTGGGCTCAGTTCTGCTTCTGCTTTTTGTCAAGCTTGACTTTGCAGAAGTCAGCAACAAATTACGCTGGTGTAAATTTGGATTCTGGCCCCTGATGCTCATATGTGCGAAGTGAGCTAAAAAAGAACAAAACTGGAAATATGTTAAACCAAAAAGAGCAGCAAACCTCATCAGTGACTGTTAAACATGCTGGTCCATATGCAACCTTTGGCTCATGGAGTCTTCAAATTGCTGATTGTGGGAAGCAAAAAGAGGTTGCCAGGAGAAGACTCCCCCAGGCTTGCTACCCCCAGGCATCTGCTGGGGCCACCATCAGGAGCCACCCCCTGGGACAGAGGGACCTTTGGGATGACCTGACGGGCTGCTCCTCATGCTAAAATAGTTGCACCAGCTCAGATAAACATTTCCTGTCCTCCGGTGTTAGGTTCAGAGGTAAGGTGTTGTGTGTCAGCCTCTGTGTTGACATAAAGCTGGAGGCTTTGCTGTGGTGTGGAAACGTATCCTTTCAGCCTGTGTGTGTGTGTTCCCACAGGTTTACAAGACACACACACATGCTTGGAGCGTGTTTCACAGTAACCACTCTTCTCACAGCTCTCCTGCTGGAAAAAAGGGTATTCGGTGTCTGCTGAGCAAGGAAAAGGATGGGAAGTGGGGTCAGACAGGATAAAATAGGATATTAAAAACACATAAACCATGCTGTGTTGCTAAACGGTAGCAGCATGATGTATATTCTCCAGATTAGCATTTCTGCTCAAGTTCACATCAACTCCAAATCCCAATTACCAGCCAGATTTGCAACCAAGGCCCTCTGCGGGGTGGCTGCTGCTTGCCCTGGCAGGAGTGCCGCCGTCCCGCGCTGGACGGTGACGGGCAGGGGCAGCCCAGAGCTGGTTGTGGTGCTGTGAACAGTCGCTCTCCCTCTCTGTGAACACCCTCTGTGTGCCCTGGCATGCTGGGTGCTGGGAGAAGAGCAGTAACATGTGCCGTCTGCAGGCCTAGAGCAGCAGGAGGCTTGTAAAATGCTTCTTAACTGCTATTCAAGACAAGAGGCCAGGGTACAACCTCACCCTGCTCTCTGTCCCAGATCACGGGGATCTGCAGTGGAATTGTTTGACTCGTGCCTCCGACAGATCAGTGCCAGAGATACACTCTCCTGCTTTGCTCTGAGATAAACTTAGTGGAAGCTCCTGTGCTTAGCATGGCATATGCAGGGTAGGAGCCTGCAGGAGAGCCCAGCCAACATCTCAGTGTGGATGCAGCTCCTGGCTGAGATCGGAGGATGCTCCAGCCCTGTCCTGAGAGCCTGCATGCTTGGAGGGAAAGTGGGCAATGACTGCAGCCTCAGTCTGTGAGCTTCAGTGCTTTGTGCTGGGGGCAGAGAAAGGGTTGAAAGATACCCTCAGGTTGGGTATTTCCTCTTCTCCCCTTTTCTTCCCCACTATGTCTGCAGCCTGAAACACAAGTATACAGTGCTGGTCCAGCCTATTAAAATAATGGGCAGGAGGGGTGGAACTAACACCCATCTGGTGGTTATTGATCACAGCCATCTGGTAAGGCAGCAGCCTTCTCATATCATGTCGGATCGTAAACTCCCCCAAAAAGCTGTCTCTGTGTGGCCGGCTGCATGTGTGCCAGAGAGGCAGGAGCGAGGGGCTGGCTGGGAGGGTGGCTCACTGCCTCAGGCAGAGGCAGCGTCCTCCCTGCGTGTGCCGCTGCGTGCACATGATGTTTCCCGGTGAGCTCAGTGTGGGGACATGCCAGGGTGTCGGCCTGTTTACCCATACAGGGGAGGCAAGGTCTCACACAGTGTTGAATACATCTGGCCTTTTGCATTGGGGCAACTGTAGATTTGGGGGAGAGCTTGAAGCAGCTGTGGCCTGGTAGTCCAAGCTGCTGTGAGAGGCAACGGGGCAGCAAGCTCCTGTATCTCCCACCTGAGGGGTGAGTCCATCACCCATGCTGTCCTGCCAGCGGCTCAGCTCTCCCTGCCTCCCCCTGAGTGCTTGCCCTGGCCGGGGGCTGGCCCTGCCCAGAAAGCCTTTCCTCAGTTTTCCCTGCTGGAGTTATTTCAACTGCTGATCTGGCTATTTTTTTCTGCCTGGTGAGGATGTAACCGTATTTGTGCCTTCTTTCCCTTGCAGACATTCCAGGCCAACGAGGATGCCACGGAGGTGGTTCTCAACAAGATCCACAGCCCAGTGCTCACGCGTTTTGTGCGCATCCGTCCCCAGAGCTGGCACAACGGCATCGCCCTGAGGCTGGAGCTCTATGGCTGCCGCATCACTGGTGAGGGTCCCCTCAGCCCCCCTCTCTGTTCCTCCAACACCCTGTCCTGGGGTGCTGTCAACCCCAGCTGTCATGGCTGCTTGGGGTGGGAATGGTGACACTGTGATCAGCATGGAAGCACCCATTCCAAGCAATGCGCTTGTGGGAACAAGCACCCAGGCCCCGGAGGCAAGGGGGAAGCACCCAGCGCTGGTGCTGGTGTAATGTCCAGAGCTTAAACCTGCAGGGAAAAGCAAAAGTGCTCCCTTCAACCACCCTAGCTGTTCATGCCCTTTCCTTGCCTGCAGATTCGCCCTGCTCCAGCTTGCTGGGAATGCTTTCTGGCCTCATCCCTGACTCGCAGATCTCAGCCTCTTCCATCAGAGGCTACGACTGGTCTCCCAGCATGGCCCGCCTGGTGAGCAGCCGCTCAGGCTGGTTTCCCCGCATCCCCCAAGCCCAGCCTGGGGAGGAGTGGCTGCAGGTGGACCTTGGCATCCCAAAGAATATCAAAGGCGTCATTATCCAGGGGGCTCGCGGAGGGGACAGCGTGACCACCACTGAGTCCCGCTCTTTTGTGAAGAAGTTTAAGGTGGCCTACAGCATGAATGGGAAGGATTGGGACTTCATCCAGGACCCCAAAACAATGCAAGCCAAGGTAGGCACTGCCTGGAGCAGCTGCAGAACGAGATATGTTTCTGGCTATCTTCAGACTGCCTGGTAGGGTCTTGGGAAATTAGCTCTGCCTCCCCATGGAGCCCTTGGGAGTTTTGGTTGTCACAATGAAATCCCAGGTTGTGTTCCCTGATCCTGCTCCTAAGATTTACTAGAGGATCTTAGGTTACACTTTGCCACAGGGATGGCAGTTTCCCTTAATTTCTTATTGCAGCCAGGCCTGGGTATGTGGACATTACCTTCTACTTGTCCCTGCTCCTGCAGGTCAGAGCCCACCAGATGATGTGTTCAATTATGTTTGACACAACTAGTTATGTATTTTAAGGGAAAAGGTATTGCTGTTGTGGCTTGCACCTCTGGAAGAGGGAGATTAATCACAACTTCTCTTTGGGAAATTCACTATATCTGAAATCCCTTTTGCCACACTGGTGTGACCCTGAAATTCCACGTGTTTTTCCCATATCATTGGAGTTCCCCATAGTATTTCTGCTTAGCGGTATAGGAGTGGCAGGGGGCTTGAGGAATAAATGAATTCTCTGCTACTGCTTTTTTTTTTTTTTAATGCAAACTCATCTGGTCTTGAAAATTCGGTTAAGTTTTAATTTTTCCTGATCCTACAACTGAGTCCTAGAAGGCCCAATGCTATCTATAGCCCTCTGTTTATTCCCCACAGACGTGAGTTCGTGCACATAAGCTGAGAAGCAGCAGTACTTGGACTGTGAGGAAAACTGAGCGTTTACACTATCCTAGAACATGCAGTAGCTTCTTTATTTGCCAAAGGACAAATCTGATCTTATTTATGTGAGAAGTTAGTGGATGTTCCCCAGGTTTCCCCTGCATGGCTTGGATTAGAATCTGACCCCTGGATGTAAAGCAGAGGCCAAGAGAGATTGTGCAAGTTTCTTAGAAACAGCCTATCTGGTCCTCTTGAAACAGAGGAGGAACAGCCCAATTTCTGCATAGCGGGACTCGATGGCCCTGAGTTGGACAGCGAAACTATTTCAAACTGCAGCTGTGTCGTGCCAGACCCAAATTATCAAGTCTGGTGGAGAGCATGTGGGAGGCACACATCACTTGCCTTTTTCCTCTCTCTCTGTAGCTTTTTGAAGGCAACATCCACTACGATATCCCTGAAGTCCGGAGGTTTGACCCTGTTCCTGCCCAGTATATCAGAGTTCATCCGGAGAGGTGGTCCCCAGCGGGAATAGGAATGCGTCTGGAGGTGCTGGGCTGCGACTGGACAGGTAGGAGACCCTGCACCACTGCCTACCCACTCTACTGGGGCCATGGCAGGTGCTAAACCAGCAAGGAGCAAGTGTAAGGTTATTTCTCTCCCTGCTGTCCCAGGTATGCCCTCAGGGCCATACCATGGCAGGGAGACAGCAGCCTTGAAGGCAGAACCTGCAGTGTGGCCTTGACGCAGCACGTAGCAGCAATGTTTGGACCCCAATCCAAGCTTTTGCACAGAGCCCCAGTGCTGGATTTGTCCCCAGCTATCTTCTCCCTCCTTTCAGATCTTTTATCTGGATGTTGTGCAGGCTTTCCCAGTCTCCATGTTAGATTACATTTGGCCTTTTTAATCCAAATGGATAAGACAAAAAGTAGGATGATAAGCAGAGGTGCAGAAGAGGGGTGCAGTGACCAGTACAGCTATCTTGAACTGCCACGATAAGGTTCTGGCATTAAAACAACTGTTCCTCTCTCATCGAATCCCAAGTGGAAATCCTTCTGCGGTCACGGCTGGGGAGTTAACTCTACGACATCCCTACAACATCCCTAGGTCCAGGGAATTTTGTTCACTTTTACCGACCTGTTTTTCACAAGTGGTGTGCCTTGCAGCCACCATTACTTTTAATACAGAGGTGAAAACTGTCTAACACACTCACTGGGATCAGTAGAGGTTGTGCCTCTGACCCTTCTGAAGCTCAAAGTTGATTGATTGCTCCATCATTTCACCCCCAAAGCCAAAAATACACCCAACAGCTCATTGTGTCTGGTGCTAGCTTTTCAGTGCCAGGGGCTAGTTGTCCCTTTTTTCAATCTATTTTAGTTTTTAATAATCTGCTTAAATCTGAATCTGGTGTCCAGATGTCAGTGATAAAGAGGTATGATTTCCATTTTATAAACACATCTGTGGAAGGCATTTTCTTGTAAGAATTCCCATTCTGGGAATCTTAAAAGACACAGAGCTTTTTTCAACCCTTTTGTGAAGTCTTTACAACTCTTTCCTCCTGTGACATGCTGTGAGATGCATTACAAACACTTAACAGCAAATCACAGAACACATGTACACACAATTAATAATGATAATTTGTCCTTAATAATGATAATTGACCTTTGAAGTCAATGGCAAATCTCCTCCCTGGACTGGGAATCCATTGTAAATGATCTAAACTTTAAATCAAGGTTAGATCTTAATTTAAATCTTGCAACCTCTTTGGGATGTTGTAGGAGAAGCAGACGCCGTGGCTTTCATGTAAGCAGCAGGAGCTGAGGCTCTGTGCAGAAGTGGTCAGGCAGCTCCCACACCGCTGCTTCCAGCAGCTCCCAGAAATTTCCGGCTGCCAGATCTCTGCAGACCACTACTGGCTGGTGCATCAGTGCTGCATCGCTGCTGCAAAGGGAAGCACTCGCACAAGACCTCCAACCAAGTACATGTCAGCCCCTCAATTACATTCCTCCAAATCAGAGAATAAGAGGAGTTTGGCATCCTTGACTACTTGTGCTATTTTTGGTCCAAATTTTCTTTTACAGCTATATCCATGTTCAGTTTCAGTATCAGCAGCAACAGCCCATGTTTTTTCCAGGCAGGGTGCTTTATGGTCATTTCCCAGTGCGGCTGTCTAATCATTTGCACATTGTAATGTTTAAAACTCAACTGCCAAGTCATAAATATTCGTAGCTTTATTGATCCACAGGCATTCAGCTTTGTAATCAGAGCAGGGTTTATAATCTTGTGGATGCACCATGTTATAAAAAACATTTATATCCCTGATGCAACCTGGGGAGCAGAGATAGCCCATGGCATTATCTGCATGCTAAATCCAGGCTGGCTACATGCAGCAGTCCCTGACGACGCCAAGATACAGCCCTCCTTTGCTGGTAGGGCTCAGACACGTTACAGAACTGGCTGTGAAAACCCAGGCAGTTGCACTTGCTTGGGAACAAGATTAAGAGAGGGATTAAAACAAGCTGATTGAAAATATTTTCAAGTGAGAGCCTAAACCCATGTGTACCCTGCCCAGCTCTTTTTATTTCTTACCAGCAATGAACATCTTAATTGCTGAGTCAAGCAGGTAACTTAACAGTACTCGGGCTCACAAACTAGTTGGCTAGTAGCTCAAAAGTTGGGAAGAAGGCAGTCAGCAATTGACTTCTTTCAAAGACCTGCCAAAATTTTTCCTCTGAAGAGTGGAGATTGATGAATGTTCACTTGCAGCTGGTTTTCTCTCCTTTGAAGTTCCAAACATCTGGTTTCAATTGCTCAGTGACTTTGCATTTTGATCAGCAGTTACCACCAGTTGCACAGACACTTGCTGGGCCAGGGAGAGAGAAAGCAAGCAAGCAAGACCTCTCTTTTTCACTTTCCATTTCACACATCACGTTGTCCTCCCTGCTATTTTCATTATCTCTTGTAACCATCGTGTTGCGGCTCTGCCATGGTAACTGATTTTTCAAGACAGATTTCTGCGGCTTGTCCAGGGCAATGCAACACTGTTGATTTACATCCGCTCAGCATCTGTGTCCCGTGTGGGACTTGGCTTTCAAGGTCCTTCCACATTGTCACATTTCAGCTATAAATCTCAATATACAAGAACAACAACCTAACAAAACGTACCAGCTCTAAATAACTTGCAGCTTTTGATATGTTGCCTTCACCTGCTGGGTTGTGGGTTTTTTTTCTTTTTTTATGACTTTTTTCTGTGCCTGGCTGCTTGCAATTTGCTTCTTGGTTGCATTTGGAGTTTTATGGGGTTGTAACAAATTTGAACTTACAAATTAAAAGACTTTGATGTTATTTGGTATTTTGTTCCTGAACAAAAGGCAGCCACTGAAAAAAACAAAAAAAAAAAAACCCCACACCAACAAAAAAACACTGAGAGTTTATGTGTCGCATGTTTAATAACAGGCAAATAAAAAGGCAGAAAAAAAGCCTATGGAAAATACTTAATATATTTAGCCATTTCCTCCTGCTTCTGGCTTTATTAAATGATATCCTGAAGGGTGCCGACAAAGAAACACAATCACACATAACTCAGCAAAGCAGACTCTTTTAAAAAGTTGATAGAATGAAGCCTGCTGTACTCATAAAAGGAGAGACTGTTGGAACCTAATGTCGTTTACTGTTGATCTTAATATCCTTCCCTTTCTTGCTTAAATTTCCCCTGACACCTGCTTGGAGGCTGTTTCACACGGGCCATGTTGGAGAGAGGGAAATTGGACAGAGACCCTTTGATAGCGTAGTCAGGAGCCTGAAGTGTGAAACCAGATGCTTTCTGCAGCGAGCCAGAGCGCGCTGGGGGATCCTCTGGGTCTGTTTGTGGCTACGTCACTTGTGGGTTTGAGTGACTTGTTTTATAAATGTGCGCAATTGGTGGTGTGTGTTTTTTTTAACGTGTCATATGCCTTCATGAAAGAAAAAGACGTTCTGTCTGTGATCTCTTTTATCCAGTAATGACAGCTAAGCATATTGCCAACACCAGTGTAGATTAAAAAATTAAGAGAAAAAGTAGCATGTATGTCTAGAGGAGAGCCTTGTCCAACAGGAACTCTAAAGCAAAGGAACTCTCATATGGAAACAGCCAGTTCACTTGAAGTTCAGACCATGCTGACATTTGTAGCACATGGAAATTTCATGGCATTCTTGTTCTATCTCTTCCTGCCGTTATAAGAACATGAGAAAAAAAATCGGTTTACTTTGTTCTCAACTACCTGTGCTTTTTGTACTGTCTGTTGCAAATAGCATCTCTACTCCTTTTTTTTTTTTTTTCAGATGTAAAGCCCACGGCAGAGACGCTGGTGCCCACTTTGAAGAGCGAAGAGACCACCACCCCATACCCAACTGACGAAGAGGCAACCGAGTGTGGTGACAGCTGTGGAGAAGAGGAGGGTATGTATCAGAGCAGCACATCTTTGTCTCAATAAAGGATGGGTTAAGAGCTAAGCAAATACTTTTATCTTCCCAATTGCTCCTATACATGGGGCTGATTCCTGGAAAGTTTAGAGTAATAGTATTAGCGATAGACCAAGATAAAAAAAAAAACCCCACAAACAAAACCTGCCAAAATCTGATAACATATCAAGGAAGGATGCAAGAGCAAGAGATAGCAGCTAATTCAGTCCCCAGGGTACGAGACTTGAAGAGCTGCTCTCCCAGCTTCCTTACGTGACCTGAAGCAACTCACTTAGTGCCCTGTTTAGAGCCACCTCCGTTCCAGATCCCCTTGGTTGGGTGTCATAAATTCAGAAGATGATTCAGGGGTGAGATTCAAACTGCCTGGTATGCAGGGCTCCTTTCACAGAGGTTGCAACTGTGGGAGTAAATCACAACATGTAGAGAAGGTTGATGTCCTGAAGACCTATCTGTTAAGGATCATCTTCCCTAATAACAACTGATTAAAGTTTAGGACAGTCTAGGCTCCTTGTGCAGGCAGCAGAGAGAAGGGAACATTGCCTTCAGGCAGGCATTCATCCCCCCCAGTCTTAGATGGCTGTCAGATATACAGGGAATGATTTGATATCTGTGCTGTGCTTGTAGAGCCAACCCTGGGGAGGACTAATCCTCTCTGCTTCAGATCCTATCTGTAAAAGAAGATGTTATATTCTTCTGCACCTCACAAGAGAGATGTGAGTATCTAAAGCTTGTGACATGTCCAAGTTAAGGGGAGCGGGCATGGAAGAGCTGTACCGGACATGCACGCCCCTGGGCACGACAGCAGAGCTGGGGCCTCAGCGCTGGGGTTGGGGCATTTAAACAAGGACTTCAACGAGAAATCTCAGGAGGAAAAAGTATCCTCTGAGATAGCTCTGAGGACTTCTATCACTTCAGCTTGCAGTCCCACAGAAAAAATTAATGGGTTTTAAAATACACAAATTAAAAAAAGAATATTAATTGGCTTTTTCACACCTCCATTGGGATTCTGCTGTAGTTCAGTTCTGGAAATGCAAGTTGCAGAAGTAGCTTAAAGGGCCTGATTATCGTTGCTTTGCCTCGGTGATAAGCCTGTGCAACCCTGCTGCTACTGAGGTACTTGGGAAGCTGCCGAGAGGAAATTTAGGCCAGTAATAGTCTCTGAACTGCACGATTCCTGGGTGCAGTCCAGGGCCAGAGAGCAAGCAGCGTATGCCGTGGAGCATGGAACCAGCCTCCCTGACAGCTTCCCTCAGATTTAGCAAGAGTTTTCCTTCTCATACTACATAAACAATGAGTATGTTTCTCTGGACAATCAGATTTATGACAGCCAAACAGAAACAATGCTGCTCTCTAGGGTATGAGATTAGATTGGAATAAAAGGATCCATGATCTGCATTGTTTTATTTCGAAGTGGGAGCATGTAAAGAAAGCTCTCTGCTCCTTGTAGCAAAGTTCCCCTGATGCCTATCGCTTGAGTCACTCACCTCCTTCTGGCTATCACTCATTTTGTGGGCACTGTGATTTAAAACTTCCTTTCTGCTCAGGAAAAACCCAGCCTATAAATGGGCTCTGACGTGTGTGTCCGCTGAGTGCTTGGGATGGTCTCAGACCATTTCTGCACCCTCCCTGCCTTACGGCTGCTGCTCTGACCAATGGAGCCAGCAGCTGCCCTGCTGCTACAAGCAGCCCCTGGCATGTGCCCTCCTGCCCACAGACCTGTCTCTGCAGGAAGGCTGTCCAGAGCTTTTAAAGCTGTTGATGTGGGGAATTAGCTCTACAACTGTTTCACAGATGAAAAGTTAAATGACTCGCCCAAAGACCATGTGGTGAGTCCATAGCAGAGCTAGAAATAGAGGCTGGCACCTTTCACTCAGAATCCAAAAGCTTGAGCTCATGGTGGCCCCACGTTTCCCCTTGTAGCATTTCCATGAGAAGGTAGGAAGCGGTGAGTGACAGCTCGCCACGTTGACAGACAGCTCCCGTCTGGTGCAAATGGCTAGATCTGTCACTCAGGAGCTGGGTTTCTGGAGCACTTGAGATTCTCCTTTTGGAGCCGGAGCAGGAACTGATGAGCACAGGGCACACAGGAAGCGCTCTTCCCTGACATTTAAGAAGGCATTTAATATTTGACCGCTCTAGGGGATGAAGAGAAGGTGCTGATTAGAGTCTGGAAGCATTTGGTACTTGCTTTTATATTTGCTTAGTTTGGTGGATTAGCCGCAGGTCGTGGTGTGAGCATTTTGATGATGCAGAACTTAAGGCTGATCCCTGGAGCTGATGAAATGTGAGATAGGTTAAAAGCACTAGTGTGAGTGAGATTTCATGCTTTCTTCAGTATTTGTGGCTTGCCAAATATTTTGATTTTGAGTTGTTTTTTAGTGGCAACTAAATGGGTAGGTCATTTTTTAATCCAACTTTCTTTTGCTTCTATTTTTTTTATAAGATTTCCATCTCCCTGCGAACTTCAACTGCAACTTTGATCTCCCTGAAGACCTCTGTGGTTGGTCACATGACTTGGCAACAGGTCATACATGGACTTTTCAGCCTACAAGCACCTGGATTGGCAACTCTGAACCGAGCCCTGAGACTGTGCCGGGTAAGGTGGTTAACACCCTACCAAACAGGGAAGAGGGAGCTGATGGGGCTTTCTTTGTGTGAAGAGCATGACTGATTATTGCACTGCTATCAAGAGCTGCGAAGGCTGTGCAGAGCTTAATGTTTTCTTTTGTGGAAGCTTTCAGATGTTTGCTTTATGGGTTCATGACTCACTTGTAGGACTGTGACCACTGGCACTGAAGTATAACTGTCCTCTTGACATATCCTTGAATCAGACACTGAGCTTTGAATCCCCTGTGGCCGTGTAGGTTAGTCCAGACTTTGTTCCACATCCTGATCCAAATGTCCTCTGTAGGACCCAATGCTTTTTACACAGAATGCATTTCCTCTTTTGGTAGAGATGCATTTCTTCCTCCCATATGTTGCTCGGATTGCCTGTAGTCTTCAGCTATTCTGCACTCTGGGCTTGCATAGACTGGATTTCAGCCTCTTCCAAGTGAAGGATGAGCTAAGCCCTAAGAATGCAGAAATATGCCAGCTTCTTGCTGTTTGACTTTTGTTATTTTTCTCTTCTGTACCTTGGAAGCAGAAGATTTGCATGAGTGTGGCAGAGCCTAATTTATGGAGGACCTCACTGAGATGTGCTGGCATGGGTTGGAAGGGAGCCTGCCTCTGGTGGTGTGGTTGATGGATCAAGTTCCTCGGCTTTACATCTTGGAACTCGCCCCGGGACTAGTGCCCTTTCCTTACTCTCATTGACTCTGTGGCACAAAGAACATCTGCCAGTTTCCTTAAAAGAGCAGATTACATCACTGTAACATCGCTTCTCTTCACTATCATTCACTGCTCATGAAACTCAAGGCTCCCTCTGGGAGAGCTGGCGGATCGTACCTGGCTTTGGCTCTGCTCTGATGCCCAGCGACTCCAGTGTCTGCATGCCGTGCACCCAGGGAGCCACACATGCAGCAGGCTCCCGCCTGTGCTGCCCCCACCCCCACCCCCCAGCCCCGGAAGCTTGAGTCGCAAGATTCAAACATTCGGGCGAACCTGTTAGCCACCTGGCAGAGGCGCTGGCCAGATTGGCAGTGCCGCCAGCCAGTTGGAAAGCCGTGCAGCCAACACCTGGTAGGCAGTGCTAAAGAGGAAAATATGTATTCCAGAAACATATGGGAAGAGGAGAATCTGCTACATCTCCACACACAAATCACCCCCACACAAATGCACACATCATTTCTCTCTTCAGTTCCTGAGGTGCCCAGCATTTTTCTACGAGACACCGTAATGCTGCCAGCGCAGCCTATATGGACATCTGACAAATTCTTAGGCATGACATAGGGTCACAGTGTCTGCTATGGAGAAAAACATTTTCATATTTCAAGTGTTTATCTCTTCAGCATTTGAGTGCTTTAGAAGATTAATATCTGGAGCTCAGTGGAGCCTCAGGCAACAGGAGAGAACACTTATAGCCAGCCCCAGACTTAATAACCCTCCCCATCTCATTCGCTGTAATAATGTTTAATTAATATAAGCCTCCTGCAAGTAGGATAAAATTTACTTATTTTTATAACTCAGACTCAATTTTTCATTTCATTTCCTCTCCCCCGAGTCTCCCTACAATCAGTTGGCCATAGTTGCTTAGAAGACTTTGTTGTATGTGCATGTGCATAGCCCGAGAGACCCTGGTGCTGCCTCAGACAGCTCAGCACGCCATGCTGGTTTTTACCCTTCTTCTACCCTTTCTTCTCTTTCTTGGTTAGTTATGAGTTGCAAACCTCATCAGTGCAGCCAGAGGGGCCTTTTTCTGCTGCGTTCGGT